ATATCTTCCGGCGCCACTGGAATTTGATTGTATGCCTGATGCAGATCTAACTTAGAGAAAATGACTTTCCCACGCAGGTTGAAGGAGCAATCGTGCAAATGCGGTACGGGAAATTTATCCGGCACGATAATTGCGTTAAGACGACGGTAATCGCCGCAGATCCTCCATGATCCGTCTTTTTTTAGTACCATATGAATGGGACTTGCCCATGGACTACTGGACGGACGGCAAATACCGGCTTTAACTAACCGTTGAAATTCAGCCTTTGTCGTTTTTAATTTTACCGGACTTAACCGCCTGGGGCGCTCGGCTACCGGCGGGCCCATGGTAATGATATGATGACAGATATCGCTACTGCAATTCGGAGTTGCCTGTTCTAAATCGGTGACCTTCGGAAATTCAGATAAGATGCTCGCGAATTTCGTACTGGGTTTGACCGTGCTAATGGCAAGCTATGGCATCGATTTGACAATGCCCGACACGTACACATTATTTTGTGAATCGATGAGTTTACGACATTTAAGGAGACCATAATGTGCAATCAGGTCGGTCCCAATAATCGGGTACGGAACTGATGCTACGCAGAAATTCCATGTGATCGGGCGTATCCCTAAGTGTAGCGTTCGGAACGACTCCCCATACATATCTATACGCGTATTGTTTGCCGCGTAAAGTTTGAAATTGGTCGAAATTTTGTTCTTCGCGTAAGTGCTGGGAAGCAGCGAAATTTCCGCCCCCGTATCTACAAGGAATAAACTCTCCAGTGACTCGATCGTGGATGTGGAGACGGACAGAAGAATCGTCCGCCATACCTGTCTCCTCGGTGGCAGACGATTCTATTCCCCCGCCTTTCCGTCCGTTAAAGCCTTGGGCTTTGGCCAAGGGCACGAGAATTTTTCAGTTCCTTTACAGACTCGCGCTTGTTCCCCGAAAGTACGATGCGGCCAGCAGACACGAGAGCTTCTGCTTTTGGAATGCTTACGATTTTTATTTGCCTTGTCTCTCGTCTGAGATCTGCTGCACCGCTTGACCTCAGCCGCGAGGGTGGCCATATCGGCGTCCAGACGGTCGATCTCAGCTTTCCATTCAGGCGGCTTCGATTCTGACAACGATGCGGCGGCGCACTGCGCAGAATCACCCAATGGTCTCAACTATTTTATCCGCCATTTTGGCTAACTTGTCCAGATCCGTGCTTTCGGTAGTCACAAGAATGCTTCTAATGTGCGGTGATAA